TTCACCACATGTATTTTTTCATTGAACCTTTGAGTCACTGTAGTTGAATTAATATTTTTTGGGTGTATCTCATTAATCATCCTTAAAAAAATTAAGAAACTGATCATTTTATGTATCTAATAAAACAATGTATGAATATTGTGTATAAAACAATCATATGACAACATAGTAACATCAGAATATTGAACAATAGTAGCTGCAGAGACTTGTCAGGATTAAGTTCTGCAGCTTGTAAATATTGTTAAACATTGAAAACTTTTCTGTTTTATATCAAAGGAAACATTTCTCAAATACACAATATTAGCACTTCTATTTTTTAAACCAAAATAAAAATTCAGGTCATAAAAGTAAATAAAAAAACTTATAATTTAAAAAGTTGACAATTTGTTCGTTTTCAGTGTTTCCAGTGGTGAGTTTCTTAGATTAAGATTCTAAATATTTGAATGGAATAAATGAAGCGTTGGCCAGATATGTTTAGCAAAACAATGAGTTTACAGATTTCTGTTAATATCTCAATCCTAATATTTCCAGTAAACCACTCCTGGTCTGGCTCACCATGTTTTATGTAACCAAACTTTGGCTGCTGTTTGATACATTAGGCCTTGGATTTGTTAAGATATAAACATTGAACAAACAAAGGCACTGTGTGGGGTTTTACCAAAAACAGCTGGCATACATTTAAAATAAACAGACTAATAAATATGTATAATTGTTTATTTGCTTAACAGACACCCTTATCCAGGGCAATTTACAAAATGTATAAAAGTTAACAAAATACAAAAACAGAAGCCATTCAAATATAGTAACAAAAAGTAATAAAAACAAATGACAGGAAAAACAAAACAGTGAAGCAGGCACATTGTAGAAATGGATTGGCTGTTCAGCACTAAACGCAGTTAACGTTTTGCCCATAGAGCAGAAAAAAAAACTGTGGAATAGATGCTTATGCTACGGATACCATTAAACAGAGTGCAGTTTCAGTTGGTGGTAAAAGAGTAATTACAAGTGCAATCTAAAGAATGGTCAGAGGTATTTTAGTGCTTAGTTGAAATCAGTGTTTATCCAGGTTGTGTGTTTAAGTTTTATGTAAAAAAAATGTAATGTTTTTTATGTAAAAAAAATCACATACAAAAATGAAATGTCCAGTGGGGCAGATGGATCTGGTTTTATGCAAGGAAAATGGTTTGCCATCTCTTCCAGAAGTTCTCAGATCCGTACAGAGTTATTTTAACTTGACGTTTAATGACGGAGTTTATGTAAAGTTCAGCATAAGGACAAGCGCCGGTTCCTGAAAATCACTGGCTCTAGGGTTATAAATATGCCGTAGATTGCTATTTCCTAGTGTTCTAAATGCAAACACTCTTCCACCATCTCAAAGTCTACTGCCAATACAGCTAACTCTTTGTTTATCATTGGAGGAGGGTTATAACTTCCAGCCATGTGGCCAGACGTTCATTCCAGCATATGAAATATTTTCCAACAATCACTTTATTAGGATATTTCCTGTACTGTATCTTCAGAAACTACTTTCTTCCTCACTTTTCTTCTACAACATGATTCTATATATATTATTTAATATATTTTATGTTAAAACCATTATTTAAAATGAGAGTACAATAATTAATAATGGAGTGGTAATACTTAATTTTGATAACTACTCCATTAATTTGTTTTACTAGAAGTAGGAGACAATTGCTTTTCCACAATGTAATTGACAAAACTTTGACTTTTTTTTAAAGCCTTACCTTTACCAATCACAACCTCCTTATAATCCCCATTTATGAACGGACTTCATTGCTGTGTTCTCCCCATTGATAACTGATGTGTGGGGAGTGTACTGGTGCACCATGGTTGTGCATCAGCTGCCACATCACCCAGGTGGATGCTGCACATTTGTGGTGGTGGAGGGTAGTCCCCATTACCTGTAAAGCGCTTTGTGTGGAGTGTCCAGAAAAGCGCTATATAAGTGAAAGCAATAATTATTATGATGTTGAAGATGACGACGAATAAGGGAACTCATCAAGGTTCTTATTTATGGACTTATTAATGTGGATGTATATATTAAATATGACCTATATGTAAGCCTTATTTGTGGTTTGGGAGATGCATTACATGTAAATAATTAAGATTTAATACGCACATTGAATAATCTACATAAATATATACTGTGATCCCTTTTTGTGTGTAGCTTCTTGTAGCTCAGAAAGTACCTATGCAATAGTGTACATTCCTACTACCCATGTGGATTACTTTGCACTTTCCAAGTATCATCTCATGATTTTGTCTTTTTATAACTTGCTTAAAACTAGTTCTGTGTTTGTCAATACCTCTATTTTAGTGTCATCAGCAAATGTGAATAGTTTGCTTACTATTCCATCATCTAAATTGTTGATATAATGAAAAGCAGCATGATGAAAATGGATTCCTGCAGCACACTGCTACTCACATCTGCCCAGTTAAATATTATGCTAATTAACATAACATTTTGAGAATATATGTTTTTTTTCTGTATGTTAACCAGTTCTTGATCCATGAGAATCTGATTTTTTTTTAAGAGGGACCTTGTCAAATGCTTTCTGGAAATCTAAATGTCATGCCATATGCTTTAGTTATCCTCGTTGCTTGTGTGAAGAATTCAAGCAAGTTAGACAAAGACTACCCATGTTGGCTGTCTTTTAAAATGCCCTTGTTTTCTTAGTATTCTTCTATTTGATCTATTTTCCATAGCTTTGTCAGCATGAGAAGTAAGAGTGGTCTGTGGTTGACTGGTTCAGTTAGTTCTGTCTCCCTTTTTTGGATCTATCTGAATATTATATCACTCAGAAGGGTCTATATTTAAATATGACAGGAAAAACACCATCAAGCCCATGGGATTTATTTAACTTTCACAGCCCTTTGAAATCTCACTCTCAGTTATGTTAAATTTGCCCAGACTGTTTGATAGATAACATTGTATTGATGTCTTCTATTGCAGATACCTTAACATCAGTATATGCTTATACTGTTGTAGTATTGTGCTTGGTGTTATTTTTCCCCTCTATTGCAATCTTTTTTGTATCTCTTGGCAATTCTATTACCTTTTTGCTTGTATCTCTATGTACTCTTTTTCTGTCACGGAGTCATGGACCATTTTACATCTGAGGACTGCTCTCTCTTCTGATTTTTCAATATCTCCATTAAACCATTTAGATGATATTTTCATGGAGGTTTCTGAATTAATTAATCTTTAATAGTTTTTGAAATATTACCATCCTTCTATTGGCTCTGTATCCGTGTGTTTCCAGTTCCCTACTTGTAAACTCTACTTAATTCCTTCATAATCTGTTTTTTGTATCAAACTATAAACCCTAATTTTAGACTCACAGTTTTGAGTTCTAGGATATACTTCAAAAGTTATCATATTATGATGACAATTCCCCAGTCGTCTGATCACTTCTGTTTGCTTAATTACTATATATCCTGATGTTTTTAAAAGATTAAGTCAATAACTGCACTTTGCCACGTTGGTGCTTTTATAGTGTTAAGAAGCAGTCATTAACCATTTGAACCTTCTCAGTTTCAGCTTCTGTATTCCCAGTCACTATATTCCATTTTATATGTGGAAAGTTTAAATTACCTAGTAATTTAATATCTCATTTGTTACATGCCTTCCTGATCTCATCATACAGTAAGCTACTTACACCTCTGTTAGGCGTTCTATAGCATTCACCTTTTGATAAGCCCTTTACATTTCTGCTCTCTAGGTTAACTCGTATACATTCTAAATTGCCCGGACCTTCTTGCTTTAGTTTTCTAACTTGCAGGTTATTTTTGATATACAGATGTACCACTACCTCTTCTATTGATAAAGTGTGCGTCTGTTAATTTTGTATTTCTTTCTTGTCATTCTCAATTGGTAAACCATGGTTCAACTAGTCTTACAATGTCACAGTTTCCAGTTAGTTTGGTAACCCCAAGGTCTTGTATTTTATTCTTTATACTTTTAGATTAGTGTTATAAACATGTAAGAATTGATTAATTATTTGTTTTGAATTTATTTTTGGCGCTGTCAAGGGCGATTCGGATCCCACCAGAATTGGCCTGTTTTAAGCCGTCTCCCTGTCATTTTGTAGTTTAAATACTCTTGAACTACTTAAAACATATGCGTCTCCAATACATCAGTACTCCACAAGTTCAAGAGTAACCTGTCCTTTTTGTCCATATTTCCTATCTGTTACATAAGAACCCCTAATGCCCCATGAGCCCCTCTGTTGTGCATCAGTCTTTTGGCCAAATGTTTAACCACCGTATTTCTTCTTGCCCGTGGTGTTACTCAGAAGACCACCATAGACATTCTACTCCTAAACATGCAAACCCTTCAATTTACCTTGCAGAATCATCAGCCCACCTTTTACAGTGACATTAGTCCCATAATAGACCATGACATTTAGATCATTTAAAAAATTTAGATAAATACATACAATACAGTACAAAGACTCCTTATCACTTGTGCATACTGCAGCATCCTTTAAAAATTGAGGCCCCCCCAATATCACTGCCTAGTGATCAATGAATCCTCCCAGGTTTCTCAAGGTTGTCAGTGCCTATAAGTAAGGATTTTCAACAGCTGGACACAGCTACAGTAGATCTGTTAGATGCCTGTATGTGGTGTGCAGCTGAGGCTTACAATTTCTCTGGCCTAAAGACAACTACCACCCTGCTACCTATCTTCCTGTAGTACTTTTATTTTATTTTTTTTTTCAAAAATTAGCAGTTAATATGTTATTGCAGCCTTCCTAAAACACCACCAATTGGTTACAAGATTTTACCTTAGGGAGAATAGGTCTCACTTTGGTTAGTCTCTCTTTTGGGATTGGAATAAATAATTTTTATCTTGTTTTTAGTGGGGCACCATTACCAGTCTCCATTTTCTGTCAAATTAGGGATCTTGCTCCACATTGAATACCTGAAAAGTCAAAAACCTTAAAACCCCCATCTCATTTAATGCATGTGTGTTTCAGCTGGAAGACACAAAAAAGGCAAACAAGAGAATGGCTCACGATTGCACATCATATGAAGAAGTGATCAACACTCAGAAGAAAAATATTGAGGTAGGTAAATTACTTAATTTTGTTTTTTGTAGATCATCCAATTTGTCGGTATAGTATAATCAAATTGTATCGTTCAAAAGGGTGGGTCCTCTGTGTTCTAATGCGGATATTGGATGTTGCATCACTGTGTTTCTGTTGTTTTTTGGAGACATGACGTAGAGGCCAGGTTCCTACAGCCAGCTCAAATTTGACATTATCCAGTAACACCCTTGAGTGCTGTATAAGGTTGCTCACTGGGATTTCACATTTTCAATGTTTATTTTTTCACAGAAAAAAATATGCTAATGAAATGCCAGTGTGTTTAAAATAGGTTCTTCACCTTTTTTTAGTAGTAACACGGTGTCAGTGCATTAAAACCTTCCAATTGAATGCTTCTATTTTATGACAAAAATAATCTCCCTTTTCAAAGACTAGAGAGACATGCTTCGCACTGTAACTTAATATGAAAGCAACACTTTCTTGATATTTAAATAAAGCTTTTGACGTAAGAGATGCCATTTTTTGGTTTATTACAAATGTCCATTCTGGTGCGTATCGACACATTATAAGTTTGTGAAAACATGCTGTTTTCTTCTGTCTTGTGAATACCACTTCACCAGTTCCCATAATACTGGCTTCTCAAGAGTTGCTTTCTTTCTGAAATGATTTTATTAAAAAAAATGTGTGTCCTCACAAATATGGTAACATGTATTGTAAACTGTTATCGGATGGATAACACTTCAAATTGAGAACCTCCCCTGTACCTGGGTCAGACAGAGAAAGCATTTTACTAGTGTCAATGATATTTAAAATAACAATTAACTATTAACAGTATTTTGTATACAGTAAAAGCCTAAATGCTAACAATAGGCAATTCTAATTATATGAAAAATAGCTAATAAAACAAAACAAAAAATGGATCATTGAAAGTAGTTAATTTAGCCGCCTGGCAAAACAACACAGTTTATTTTGTAAACGTTCTGAAGTTTATCAACTACAGTAATTAGTTATGAGGTCACAAAGTAATTTGTAGAAAGAGAAAATAATGACTGATAACAGTTGGATGAAGCTAAACTATAATAGAAACAAAAGGGGTTATTTCAGCATGTGATCACAGTTTTCTATTGAGCTGAATATCTCATAACAACATGAGGTTACAAATAAGAAAAGGTCCATCCAGACTTGTGGGGCTTCAGTCAATACTTGTGACTCTCATGTAAATACAGTACATACTATATCTGTTTTCTTCTACACAAGAAGGTCCTTGGGTTTCAGCTTCCTTTGGAAACTGTCTGGAGGTGAATTGTACCTAAGCCATGTCCCTGTATGGTTAAATGATTCTCCACTTGCTTCTAGCACATCTTTGTTTGTAAGCAAATTTAACGACTTACCTGAAAAGTTCATTATAATATATGAAAGGTTACAACGAGAGAAAATCATTCATCCTGTTTAGCTTTGTTTGGTTATTAACTGATTAATTATCAATAATATCATCTAGCTCTTTCTTAAAGGATACAAGGGTATCAGCTTCAACATGGCTGTGCAGCTTGCTCAATACTCTCCCCCACCCCCCACTTACCATAAAAGATCTGCCCCTTGTTCACAGTGTAAAAGCAGAAGCCAACAGCAAACCAAAATGTGCCTACAGTCAAGCAAGAAAACATAGACTGATATTAAAGAACAAAATACCACATTTTTCACCATAACTAATATAGCATTGTATTGGACACCATTGCTATGGATGAAGTCTGGGAGGCAGAGTCCCTGTGGCTGAGCCTGCTGTCCTCTGACCTTCCCTTGTTACCCCTGCCTAAGATCATGGACTAGAAGAGCAAGTGGGGGATTCTTCTCTTGAAGTGGGAACTCTGTTTGCAGCCCTCTGGCCCTTAAATATCAAGGAGGAGAAGTGTTCTCTCTTCCCCCCCCCGGACTGTTTGTTGCTGTCCTTGGTCTGCTGTTGGGAGCTAGTCTGGTTTTGTTTGAGTGAAACTGACTTGATTGCTGAACACTAAAATATATTAAGGTTGAGGAAATATAAATATCGGTAGGCTGTTACATATAAGTCCTGAAAGACTATACAAAGTAATATAGAGAATTTGTGTAGTAGTTGTAAAGCATGATAATAGAATACAGCACTCACTGGCCAATAGTATAGGAAGGACAGTTTGAATAGTAGTATAGTCTTAGTCCACACTGAAAAGTAGAAAATATAAAATACACAATATTGTGGCAGTGGAGCCCTTTTCAGGTGTGAAACATCCATAGTCGAAAAAGTTTACTTTTCGGCCTAAAATTAACCTCTGCTTGTTGATTTGGAAATTGCATGGTGATGTATATCCTCGCTCTAATCTCTTTAGTAATACTATAGTTGTAAATAATGTTCAAATCGATAACAATTAAATGGTCACATCCCTGATCTCCAACAACCAGTGCTCGGTTTGATTGGGAACAGGGAGGAATGCAATTTCTTTATTAAAAGGAGTACAAAAATAATGTACCCTAATAAAATCAATTTTCTTGAAAGGAAGCACCTCCCCTACCATGGAGTAATGATACATTCACGGATCATTCTATAGAGCTATGTTTCTTTCAACCATGCACATCCACAACTAGGATGACAATGTTAATCTTTAATACATTCTAGCACTGTTCCTTTGATTATTGCTTTAAAATGTGACTACTGCAAACAATCAAATAATCTATTCTTCTGAACTTCTTCCAATAGTGAGAAGGTTTGAGTAATATCAGGAATAATCTACAAATCAAAAGGTGTAAATACAGTACACTTGCCTATCTCTGTGAAATACAATATCTAAAATTGATCTTGAAGCATATTTGTAAACTGTCTTCAAATACATTAAAACAGAATTAAAAAAATGAGAGATGAAAAATAACAGTGAATAAATCAATTTCTTATGGATGCATTCTTTCTTGATGGACCTCAGGCTGAAATACCTGTAGATTTTAAACTTGCTCCCATTACTACCACTGCTTGCAAAAGGTTAAAGAAAATAAATGCTTCAGGTGTTATGTGAAACTGTTTGTTACAAAACAAGAGATATACTGTAGAAAACTCATTAAAACACTGAAGATCTCAAACTCTAAATGCCAGCTTTTATGTTTGTCATGTGAGGTTTTTCTGAATTCTTCAATTGTAGTTAGATAAGTTTGTGACAATTGTCTGTTTCTATCAAATCTTGGATTGCAAGGATTACTCTGAACTCCAAGATTGAGGTCAAGGTCTGTATATTTGAGGATACAGTTACAATTTATTCTTCAAGCATATTGATCAAATAATTTCATCCAGCCTTTTTTTAAAATATCCTCGATCAAAATCATTTCAAAGCCTGTACCAGACTCCCACAATCGTTTAGTGTGTCCCAATTCCTCTTTATGTCCCAAACTCTGATGAAGTTGTGATATGTTTATCATTAAGGTATGCACTATTAAAGATATCACTTCTGGTATTGAGGACTTCATACAGCTCATTGAGATAAATAGAAGAATAATTATTTTATAACTGACTATAATGACCATAAATGACATACTCCTATACATCTGTACGTCTTCATTTTCTTTATAAATCATATCATATCTTTAATAAAACATTTTAAAAAACATTCCTTGTTTGTGCTTTGAAATTCTGCCAAATATGTGACGCTTACTTCTGTTCCAAACCTCTGAAATGTCGTGCTGGCCTGTGGAGCTCCTCTCTAGTTGACATACTATAAGGTCTCCACAGAAAACTTAACATTTTAAAATGTGGTTTTGGATTACTGATTAGAACTGGCATGTACTTTTTATCATCAGCCTTTTTAAAATTTTGCAAAGAGTGTTCCATTCTGTATGTGCATGAAAAGCAAGAAAGAAAATGCATTTCTATCATATATTCTATTGTAGGGTGCAGTTTCATATCAACATGATGATCTATTTTTATAAAAGAGATTATCTTAAATGCTCTTAAATAGTTGTTCTCCATATGTTTCTCAAATGCAGCCCCAGATGGAAAACTTCAGGACTCCCCCTGTTTTTTGTTCTGATTGTACATTAATGTTTTATAGCTACTTTTCCAAATTACATTTACTACTTAAATATCAACTGTCACATTTGATTCAGGATTTATTTGTCTATATATTATAATGCTCAAATAATTTTAAAGTTGTCACTCAAACTGATTTCTGCTTGGACTTTTAATACATTCTCTTGAATGATAAAACACTTAAATTGTTACGTGTTTTTTTTTAGTTCTTTACTACTGGGAGGTTATAGGTTTACTGTATGGTTATAATCATGATGCCGGATTGTACATTATTTAGCAACAGAAATGAAGAATAAAGACAGAATGAAGAGTTTATTACAGACAGTCTGCTCTACTGATTCTTTAAACCTTCACTTCTATTTGCTACTACCTGTATCAATCTTTGCTACCTTTGCTACCGTCAGTGTTTGCTGGGTAACTAACGCAAACTGTGAGCTTTAGTGCAGACGAATATGTATAAATAAATATATATCCTCAAATTTATATATTTATATATTCAATAAAGAAAGCTACAGTCAAAGACAACAGAAGTGCATAACAATGCTACAAGAGTTTTTATATGTGGAGTTGATCACTTATTGTAGAGGAGTGATTGGATTGTGAAGTTGCTTAAAATCTAAATTTGCATAAATACATTATATTTTAGTAATTGTTTTCTGAAACAAATACATAATTTAACCTTGGTGATTCTTGAAGGGCATATTAGTGTTAGATGGTGTCACAGCCCATTTCTCCCACACTCACACAATTGAATTATCCACCCTTCTTTCAAGAGAACACAGCCTCATTGGTGTTCACCACGAACAAGTTTGGGGTGGCTTTTTGAAGCCCCAGCCTGCCTCACACTGTTTTTTCCCCCGTGTTTTTAGGAAGCATACACAAATCTAGCAAGTGCCAATGAGGAGATAAGCCGTCTGCGCTCAGAGTGTGCAAACCGAGAGACCCTGGTAGTCAAATCTCAGACTGAGCTGCAGGATGTTCAGCACCACTGGGAGACTGAGAAAATGCGCGCCATGGAAGCTGAGAAAGAAATCCAGAAGCTTACCCAGGTTTACCAGCAGGATTCGCAGGTATTCTGTTCAATAGGTGCTGTTGTTAAGCAGATTTTTTTCTACTTTCCCACAAATAAAAATATAAAATCAGAAGCAAGGTTATGACTAAGGAAAGCCAATTATCCTCACTCTGGATGGTAATGGCATACTGATCCATGTACACCAGTGAGTTTCTTAAAATACTAGTGCATCAGCATCTCTGATGTACTTTATAATCTGTTCCTAATATCAGTATCCATTGTTGTTTTTAATATTGAATTGACTAATTACCTGAAACCTGCAACTACTTTGAAAAAATAGTCATTATTTCTAGTCCAGGAGTCAGAAGTTGCTATATACTTTTTCACTCTTTGTACTTATCCATTCTGTCTATCTGAACTCTTACTTTTACAAATGAAAGCCTGTATCTTCTAACATAAATTAACCTGGAGATGTCATAATGTGTTTGGATTATTTAAATTTCCTTTTTTTGGATCAATTTTTAATATGGTGCCCAACATGGAGTATGGTAATGCACAGAAGAATTTAATCTCTTTCATTATTCATTGACAAAATATTAAAAAAAACTTTACTTATTTGATATATAGCTATTTTTGCACAGTTCTAATTCTGATGTTGACTTTGTTTCCTGATTTGGTGTGTACAGTTCTCAAATATAAATGAAGACTACAGCAAATCAATAATAATTTTGTCCTTTTCTTACTCTTGAGTTCTTAGTCCATTTGGTACTTTTTTTTACTACAGAAGATTAGTGCTCAGTGCAGGTTAAGATGCAGCTTGCACCATATTGCAACCCTGGGACTCTGCAACACTCCCACCACCAGCAAGGGGCACTGCTGCTGCATCAAAATCAGCATGTCATGGGCAGCGTTTACCCAGAAGCATTTACTTCATTTGGGTGCTTCCTGTCAGACCATTAGCCACTGTGTAAAATATAATCCCAATGAGCCACTTTTCTTGAGAGAATGATGATAATTTCTTTAGTTTTGTTTCTAATATTCTGTAGGTTTATCGTAAATCACGGAAAAGGGCTAGTGTACACTGTTCTATTTTGGAAGTCCCTTGGAAATATACACGTGATATAATGTATTAAAACATTACTACTGACACTGAGCCTTCCACTGACTATTTAGTTGTTCACATGTTCTTGATGATCCCAGGCTGGGAGGGAGTGACAACCTCCTCATGTATGCATGTTAGATCCGCCTACCCCTCTGTTTACTTTATGGACACCACAAATAGTATAAACAGGCAAATCTAGCCATGATGATGGAATAATGAATGATTTGTAATGGTTTTTTCATTTGAGAAAAAAGAAGGACTTTTGAACCTGCTTACTTCAGTAATAAGCTAAGATTTTAATAGTCTGAAGAACTGCTTCGTTGTTGGTCATGCATTTAATCCAACACAGAGTTTTGACCAATAAATACGATCTTTTGTTTAGAGTTAGTTTTGGTGGATTCCTTTGGTCTGCTGTTCCCAGTCATCTTTTGAACATTTTTTGAAGGTTTAAAGGCACCAAATACAGCTTATTTAAAGAGAACCATCACCTGATGAAATCAGAAGGTAATAATTCCCATGTTAAGCGTCTCTTAAAACAGCTGGGGTCTCGACATAACTTGATGAGGTTACGAGAAAAAAGGTACTTCAGAGCAAGTAAGCACACTTGGACTCTAGCTCTTAATCCCTTATTTTATTTTCTTTAAAATGTCCTTTAGTTTTTCTACAAAGGACTCCTCAAAGAACATTATATCCAATTAATTGCTATCGAACTGAAGAATTAATGATGTATGGAGAAAACAGTATAGGACTTTATATTTAACATATTTATTAGCAATGCTAGTGTTGAAGTAGAATGTAAGAGTATTAGAATACTTATATCAATATGACAATAATTAATTTTCTTAGTCACAGTTGAGGTTTATAAAAAAATGTAGCAATCAGTGAAGCTGTTTCTTTATTTAAGAAAAGAAACAATGGTATTAGCAGAATTGGTTTCCATCCGGTTTGAAAAGACCTCAAATACATCACTGAAAACCAACTGTTGTCATTTGTTTTAAACCTCCCATCTTGATGCGATTATTCTGACAAAACTCGAAGTGATTGCCAACTGAGCTGGAGGTAGACATTCTTTCCACTTCCAGTGCACAGGGAGGTTTCAAGTCTCATCCTCTTAAATCTGTTGCAGTAGTCCTGCACATGAGTTACTGATTAAAGTTAAGAAGAATTGAATGTGGGCTAACATGTAAAGTCACTATGTATAGAGCACGGCAATTTGAATTGGCTCTTTTTTGGATCCTTGATTTCTTTGGCTTAAGAAAACAGCTTTGGATTTTGTGCTTGAGTTCCAATAGATCAAATATGCTGTACACCAATGACCTTTCTGCATAACAGCACAGTTAATTTGAACATGAGATTCTCATCTATAATGGAAAATTATTCAGATAGGTTATGGGGAACAGTAACCTGGAAGAAAGAAAAGGCCCTCTATTGCAAATACTGATATTTGACCATGTGTCCCAACTTTATATGTAAGGTTTAAATATTTGTGCATATCATTGATTGAGATTGACTTCAAACAGCTGGGCAGTGTGTTAATTGATATGAATGTAATATTGTTTATCAGACTTGGGTTTTGTACAAATGATACTGATTTCTTAAACTTCTGTTGGTGTGGCAAATAGGTCAGGCATCTTCACCTACTGTTCCTCACCTCGAAAATGTTACTTGAACCTGATTATAAGTATTTTAATAAGCTTGTATATTTTAAAGCTGCCTTAACATATAGCGATACTCCAGCTGTCAGTTTCATGTAGTATTGAGATTCATGGCCTTTTAACAAGTAAGCAAATGACTCAATAAATGATAATTGATATTTACTGAAACTTAAGAGATAAGAATTTTGTGTGTAGTCCTTGTGTTTACCATCAAAATACAAAAAGCAGTTTACATGTGTATGATTACAAGTTTCTAATTTGTCACCAGTTTTGTAAATATAAATATTGCCTCAGTACACTTCTCATGAACTGCAGAAAATATTCCTTAAATTTTTGTTGTCCCTGGACTCATTACAAAAATGTAACAGCTGTACTATTACAGTCTCATCTTGTAAAACATCTTCAGATTAAACTGATTAATGTTCAAGGTTAAGGAAAAAAAAGATTTTGTTTTAATTAAATAATTTTGGTATCTGGACTGATGTCTAAATAATTCATTGTATATATGGTATTTAAAATATGCAGTGATTAGCAATTTAAATGTCTTCAGGGTAGCTTATAGCTTTATGTATTAAAGAAGAAAAATATGGCTGGTTTGGTAACCCATCACAGGGATATTCACTAATACAAGTTATTTAGTCCCTCTGGTATCTTACACACATAAATAATGCACACTGGCTACTGTAATTTAGCTTCATTTTCTTAAATGAAAAGTAAAGAAACATGTCCGTGTTGTAAGGCTTAAAAAGTCTGTGCAGAACTGTGAACTGTGAAGAAAAATATAATGTAAGGAAAATATAAATATTAACGCCATCATTCCACTTCTCTTGAAGTCTAATGTGAAGCCTAAAGTAAGCTTTCCAGTCTTATCTTTGCCTTTCTAATACTTTTTTAATTAAACAGTTTTCTACAGCAGCTAACAGCAGTTCCAGAATTACAGTGTAAATAGGTCAGGTTTATTAACTTACATATTTAAATTGGATTTATTACCAGCTGTTAAGGAAATGTGAAGTGTGTGAACTTCCCCAGGATACCTGTTATTGTAATGATAAGTCCTTTAGTTTTTATTTTGTCAACAACCTTCATAAGAACACACAGGTTTGTGTATGCCAAAACACTGAAGATTAAAAAAAAAATACAGTTGGGTAGAGAAAGTGTATGTCCAGCTTATCTCACTGCCTTTACTGACCATTGTTAGAGCACACATCAGTACTTTTTAGGTGTGAGTTTTTTTCATTTCTTCTGAAAAAAGCCTTTCCATTTTATATAACTTTTCCTTTTTTTTCCATAGTTTTGTTACATTGCTTTCTTAAGGCCAAATAGGTACTGTTGTAGAAAAAGATAGAATAATAATGAACAAGTGAAGCCAAAATATTGCCACTTAGATCAGTTATATCTTCCGGGTAATTTAAGATAATTAAGCATTCCTGCTTTGTTTAGTTTTCATTTATTTAAACATCATCATTAAAATAATTTCTTACATTCTCTAGTAGTGCTTTTAATCCTGAAGAATCCATAGAGCAAAGCTGGTGGCTAAACATGACGAAGGTTAAGAAAACACTGCACAACAATAGCTGCTATTTTTTCCATTGTGTCTTTGAGTACATTTTCTTTTACTTGTTTCTTTTCCTAACAACATTTGTATGTTCCTCTTAGGAGAAGCTGACCTTTCTGCACGACCTGTACCAGCGTCTGGTAGCTGGCTGTGTGTTAATAAAACAACCCCAGGGCCTACTGGGCCGGTTCTCCTGGCCTGAGCTGTGCTCCATCCTGCAGGAACACACTGATGCCTTGACCTCTGACCTGAGCCGAGCTAATGAGAAGGTAGGCCAGTGTGAGGGGCTGGGTGGCTGTGCTGGCTGGTTCCCGGCAATGACACTTGTCCTTTTCAGCTCACATCCAAGGCAAAAACTGACAAAAAAAAGAGAAAAAAAACACAAGGTTGCAGTACATTAATAATTCACTAGCATTAATTATGACTTGTCTACAGCTCAGTTTGATGCCATTGCTGAGGGCATGTAAATGTGACTGATGTCTGTATGGAGTCTCTCTTTTACCATCTTCTCTCCCTTCATGGTCCTTGCTAGTGCTACTAGCCAGTCTCAGCCATAGGGACTTAATTAACAGAAAATAAATTAAGGCTGCTGATGAAGCAGTCAGAAGGGCACAGAAGGGAAGCCAGCTCTCAGCACCCACTATGATGTGTTTATAGTCTGTACAATAGCCCAGTGTACATGTTTGTTTTCCCTGTCAGCTGGTATAAAGAACACAGAGAAATGAGACTTCACCGTGGCCTCCGACTACTGCAGTGAGGCTGTAATTAACAGCAAGATTACAGAGCATGGATTATGACTAATTAGCGAAACGAGGGTTATTCTTTTCTTTGCTGAATGCTGTTCTCTACTTTATGACTTGGGGCCTTTTTTTTGCATTAGCTTCCATCACCACATAATTTTTAATGCCAATGCAAATTGAACTGTTTTGCAGGAAATGTAGCTTTTATTGACTTGAGCACAAGTTCTTTCGTATTTTGAAGCTGTAGATGGCAAAAAGCTGGACTGACTGTTTGCCATCAGGGCTACAGTTTGATGGAAGTCTATAATAGAAAGGTATTCTAAGGTCAAAAATTGCATGCACTGCTGTTCCAAAGTGTTACATTATTCGGTATTGAGCAACTGAAAAAGAGTGGAGGTCAATTAGTCTCAATGGCCACAACACACTCCCAATAACAGAATTAATAAAAAAATGGAAAGTCTTTAACTGAATTACATCTTATGAGTTAATGCTTTTGCATACATCTCTTCAATTAGAAAATGTTGAGGTGTGTTTTCTGTTGGCTATCATTTGTTTTTATTCTCTTTTTTTAGCACAGTAGTCAAAGCTGCATTGTTTAACTTGTGTACTATATTTCCTAATAGTTACCTAACCTTACAGTTTTGGATTTCATCTTTCTGGCCTCTGGTTAATTAAAGGGAAAAAAGACTAGTATTATTTATTTTAGTATTACTGAAAATGCATTTTGCAGATATTTATAATATTGATTATGTTTCTAATAGTCTTAATAATATTAGTAAAGTAATAATAACAAATTAGGAAATTAGCTATTTCTCATATGTAAGTCACATACGTACAGTAATGTGAATAACAAAAATGAATTATAAGACAGCCCAAAGCTACAAACCAAGCACAACAGCCCCAGCAATGCCTTTAGCAATGTTGAAAATGCATTATAGTTTTGTATGAAAAAACACTCTGGGGATAATGCAATTGCCATTGAAAACAGTAGGCAGTGAAAATGTACAGTGAGAAAAATTCCTATTAATGGGCAGCTGAAATGCATTTTATGACAACACTAACTTGATATGCAAAGAAAAAATAAGTGCATATTGTGCCGGGAAAGTTACAGTTAACTTAATTACATAATTGGTAATGTACTACTAATTGGAAATGATTAACTTTTTAATGATAATGCTGCTGCATTTTAGACAGGTGTTTAGCTGTATATTTTTTTCTGTTTTACAGAAATTTATCTTTTTTTCTGCTCTTAACCTCACAATTGTCACACTTTGAATTGTGTCATTAATGAGAGAACAATTATACTGTACACTGACTTTATTTACTGCAGTGGTTTCCATTGTCAGTAGTCTTTTTTTGTGTGGTTAAAGTGAGCAACAGCAGTACAAAATGTTGTAAGCTGAGGTTTGATAGCTAGGCCTGCTATGTGAATTGCTTCAGTCCATCCATGATCTGCAAATTCAAGGCAGGGGTTCTTAACTGCGTTTTATCTCATTCGCTGTCTGTTGAGTTCATGATGCCTCATTTGTAAACTATAGGTACATGTATTTCCTATATCCTGTACCAATATTTAACACAATTCAGTTGTTATTTTGTAGTGGAATGGAAGTTGGAAGCTGAATGGCTAGGTTTACAAATACATTTTTATTGGGCACTGTTGCTTCTCACTGGATTTCATGAAAACAGTTCTTAGCATCCATACTTTTAAGCAAAAAAGGTTTCTGCAATTTATGTGTATGATGGGTGGATTTGTATAGAGTGATTTAAGAGTCAGATATGATCATTGTGAAGTATGGTAGAATCCCTTATCACTGTGCTGGAAGTGGTATTCAGCAACTCTTTAAAGTGTTTGTACTTTCTTTGTATCCAAATTAAACAGATGGAAAAAAAGGTTGATTAGCAAATACCTTAAACGTGAGTGCTTATTGCTATATTCTGATTGTGTACAGAGGATATAACTATCTTACAGTACTCTGCTGGGTTCATCAAATAAACACACATTATTCAAAGAAATTATTAAGCTATTCAAATCAAATCAAACTTTCAAATACTTCAGCAGATAAAGAAATTAACTAGGAGGACTGATTAATTTGGGAATTGTGTACAAGGGCCTTGTTTTGACTGTGATCAAGGGATACAGAGCAATTAACAAGTTCTTTGCTTTATTCACTGTAGTATATAATGAAGGCTCTTGCACATAATTGAGTAAAAACAATTGAACATGCCTTGCAGTTAATGCATTTGTTTGGAACTGGTTTCAAATATCACCAAAATGCATGGTAGCAGGTGGATTCTTTTTAGATTAGAAATTGGAAGGCAAGCAGAGTTTATCCTTATTAGTACTTGAACTGACCTATTATACACATTTATAAGAAGAATAACTGAATATGATATGTCACTTACCCTATTATCTTTGTCCTTCTTTTCATAACAATAAAGAATTAATATCTGAATCCAAAATTTATTAGTTTCACGCACATGCACATGCTGTACGGTGTCATGCAAAGATTTTAAACATCTTAGACACTTTTGGGAGTTGATTGTTATGATTGTAAACAATTTGCTAAATATCTTCACTGATGTTTCTTATAGTACTTAGGATTCTTTCACAAATATCTGTCTTCAACTGTTCTGTCTTCATCCAGCTTGCTCCTGCGAACCTTCTAATTTCATCTTTCAGTAGATGTGTAATATCCATATAGAAAACACACATTTATGCATAATAGTATGGTGTAAAGAGCATGCAGTTGCTAGGAATTATGTGATTGAATATTAGATTTTGCCATTTCACAACACTTAGAGGGTAAGTACTGACTTGACATTTGAGTATATTATGTAAAATTTAGCCAAGTACTTGTTTCACCCTTAGTAGAGCTCAATATCACTATATTTGACCATTTAAATGGAATTGTGTGCTTCACAAGGAACACTTTTCAGGTATATGGTTTGTGTTAAGAATATGTAGTTACTCTGAATTATTTTTAGGAATGTAAATACATCCCAGTGTTAATATTTATGTAAAGTAGCATTGAAACAGATCAGCATACTGTCTGAATTTGATGTCAGTTTAATGTACCTGTATAAGACAGTGTTTGTGTTATATTATAAAGAGGAGACATCTGTTTATGAATGTAATGTAATAATAATAATGTTTCTTTATTAGCCCTATAGAATTTCTTGCATTAGGAATTCATCTTTTCTCATACCCCATCCATGGAGACACAGACACACAGACAGGGAGAGAAGCTTGGGGTCAGAGCGCAGGGTCTGCCATTGTTCGGCGCCCCTGGAGCAGTTAGGGTTAAGGGCCTTGCTCAGGGGCCCAACGAAGTAGGATTCCTCTGCCGGCCAAGGGATTTGAACCGGCAACTTTCCAGTCACAGGCGGAGATCCTTAGCCACAGAGCCATCGCTCCGCCCAAATATAGTGGTTTGGGCATTGTTATTTTTTTCAAGCCCTACTCTCTTTCTACATTATGTGTCCAAATGTTAAGTAATTTTAAATTACATGTATTTACATGACTATGCATTCAACTATAGACTAATTAACCTTGATTTATTAAAGGTTCAAACTATTAAGAAATTAAGCAAAACAACTTTACCAACAGCCATACTTTTTATACCAAAGTCCCAAATCTCATGTCTTAAACTGTGCTCCAAATTTTCAATTATATATAATTATTCAGTCATCTACAACAGGTAAGCTAAAATCTTCACAGCCTTTTAAATAACCTTTATAAGGTAGCCTGTGATGGTATCCCAATAGTTACATGTACACACCTTCAGTCCCAGTGATTGCTATCTGTGACTGGGGCAATATGACAAAATATTCACTGTTTATTTCCATATGATTAAGAGAAAACATTAGAAGTTCAGTTAAGGCTGATTTCTTACAATATAACTTAGAAAATAAGCTTAAGAATAAAACAAAAACCATATACAGTATAACTTGGATAGTTTCGTAAGTTAACAAAAGTGTCTGGACATCCTTTCTTTGATATTTTGTGTGCGCACACTTCTTTTACAGCTTCTATTGTTTTCTGTATTCTGATTTTTTTCCCCTGTAATCTTTATGGAAAACTTTTTGCTTCTTCTTCAACACATGCAGTTTTGTGTTCTGCAGTTGATGTTAGTTTCTTCCTTGCAACATCAGTTTTCAAGTCTACAGTCTTTTGATGGGATCCATGTCAGGGGACTAAGTTAGCCAGTCCATATTGTAATCTTTTTTTCATGAATTCCTTTGTAGAATTAATAGAATGCTTAAGGTCTTTATCCATCCAGATTACAAACATCCGTCTCCAGTAAGCTTTCTCAAACTGCGTAGCATATGAAAATGCAATTTTCTTTCTTGGTGTTCAGCAGCATTTATCGATCCCTTTACAATATGAAAAGATGTCAGTGCCTGAAGTAAAACACACCTAATTTATAACTCTGCCACCACTATGATTAACACTTGGAGGGACTTTAACTTTCTCCTCTCTAGCTCTAACATATCATGATAAAAATATATGTTGGAGTAATTTGACAATAGAATTTAGGTAAACAAATAATCATTATCAGATTCCATGAGGTATTTTCCAATTAGTTTTTACTATTAACATTGATTGGTAAAGCCTTTTTAGTCTGTTGTTCTTAAGAATTTCGCTTTTTTTGTTCATGAATAACAATCTTTAACACAGGGGTTTGTTGAACTGCAAACTCTTAAATTTCTTGATCTTTTCTTAATTTTTGTATCATAGCTTTTGCTCTATTTTGCAGATATTGCTGGCCTGTTTGAATGATACTATTTCATGTTTTTCAGAAATCTTGCCTTTTCTTCTGAATGTGTAACTAGTTGCAGTAGTTCCAGTTTCTGTTTATTAATAATAGCCCACGCATACTGTGGCTTTTCAATAATCATAGTAATTTGGCATTTTTGTAGTATGTTCTTATTTAATTTCACTGCCAGTTTGAGATTGTAGATGCACATTAGTTTTAACGATAATCATGGCAACATTTCAGCACTACTTGTATTTAGCATATTATAAAGTAATTGACTGATGATAGTCATTTTTATATATCTATTGTTTGTTTAATAAGTAAGTGTGGAGTTATTTTGGAAGTATATGCTAGACAAAAATCTGTATACATTTAAAGTTAGTGTATGCATTGCATATGATACTGTATATAGTTTTACTATGTACATTATTGCAGTTTGTTGAAGTTGTGTCTTTAGTTTCTTAGGCTGCTTTTCTTAATATTACAGCATTAAAACAATTTATTTAATGTTTAATTTATATTATGTATATATAATGCTATTGCAATTTTACCTTCAAAATGACTTCATCACAGTTAATGAATACATAATAATATGTCAAAGATGCTATCCTGGAGAAGAACCCAAAAGCCTTCAACTTAAAACTTTTAAATTATTTATTTTGAAAAATTGAAACTTTTAATATCATTAAACATAATAGATAGAAGAGAGAGAAACTCTGCATTCTAAATTTTCACTGAGACAAATTGTCCAGCTCTTTGAGTTACTCAATTTGATGTTTATCAGTTATACTTCAGCATACTGTGTATTTTAAACACATTATAGCTGAATGTTTGATTTTTATGACCTACTCTCTTAACACCTTTTTCATGTCTTTTTATTGTCCCACTACAGAAAAGCCCTACAAGAGGGTTTCAAAGTAGTTTTACCCAATTTTTGTCTTAAGAATATTATTCATATGACCACATTACTTTAGGATTTGAAAGGACATACTGTATTTGTAAAGAAAAATTAAAAGTGAATAAAGAGCTTGATTATTAAGTTTATATGACATAACAATTTCAAGAAAATTGACTAGTTTATACGACTAGATAAATAGCTTTTTAAAAATGTCATTTTATAACAATGAATAATCTGTAAACGTAAATGTACAGTGTGCTTAGTTTCACAAACATTGTTGAAAGCCTAAATGAATTAAAGAAGTTCAGAAATGTAAGAAGAAAAGTGGTAAAAATTGTTTCAATATTAGGAGAGTTGTAGGTCAAATGGATCTCTGTGCAAAAAAAACTTCTGATGGTGTAATGTTTCACTTGTGGGAGCTCGAAGAATGTTCCCGCTGTCACTCTGTGGCAGAAAATATAAAGTAGCTCTCTGTTTTCTCCAAAGATATCCCACCTGGAGTGTGTCTGCCAAAACAAGAGTGAGGTTGTGAAGGAGCTCCAGCAGACTCAGGAAAACACCTTTAGTAAGCTGGCAGACCAAGTCAGAGAGAGGGAGACCGCCTGGAAAAAGCAGAAGAAAGACCTGGAGCAGCATTACACCACTCTGATCGGGGAAGTTCATGCCAGGGCCCAGGTATAGTACAGTTTTCTTTCTGAACGGATGCTTCAGTTTACAGATCCGCTCTTCTTTAAGAGCACAGCAAACCCATTTGTTTTTGTGTTAGCTTGCATAGGAGAATCACAGAGAGCTTTCTGTATAATAATAATCAAAAACATGTGAAATAAATACATTTTGTTTTTGTCTGGCCTGAATTTGCGATAATGGGATATTGTTTTTTTAAGTAGACTTTTAGCAGTTCAGAAAAGTTGTCCCTTAAGTAACAGAGTCCCTTAAGTAACAAATCTGGCTAATTATTCTAAAGTGAATGTTATACCAGCATGTCACATCTTGGGTTTCTGACACAGTTTCGTTTTTTTTTTTCAAGTTGTTCTTTATAAGCAAAGATTGTTGAGGTTTGAAACTTGGTGGCCCGTGTTATGCCATCTCTCTGCTACAACTCAAGTTCACAACAAAGTTCACATGGTTGGCCACCTCTTCAATCTGGCAAAAAAAAAAACACTTGAACAACTTCTCAGATGACAATGTGAGGCCAATTAAGGCAAAACTAAGTATACATAAAGTGTAAGTGAAGGCTGTGTTGTCTGTCAAAATTGTTCATGGCAAATTGCTACTCAATACAACATTGCTGTCAAAAGGTAATTAAATTCAAAGTGTGGGTAATTTACATATATTGTGTATTGGTGGTTTCTGAATGTGATTGTATGACTGTAAAACAAAAGAAAACAACCATTTGAATGTTGGAAATAACTTCTGTAAATGCCATATACTGTCTATAGGATACTATTCAAAATACCAGAAGATCCTTTTGTAAATCTCTGCCTATTTAGTTCTGCATATTCCAGGTGAAACTGGTCTTGTTTTCTGTTGAGTTTTGAAAAAGGTGAATAAAAAAGTAGTAAAAAGTAAATGCAGGTTTGACAATTCCTTATGAATCAAAGGAACAGTTTATACCATTTTTGAAAGAAACTGGCAACCAGATTTAACTTGTCATCCACAGTGTTTCATCTCTTGATGATTCAGGTCAGTCCTGAAAGGCCCAAGAGATCTTCAGCGTTTACCGATTTGCTTCGCTGGCTAAAAAAAAGATCTGCAGTGGGACTGAACACATTTGATTTTCAGTCTGCTTCACTCAAATCCTGGTAGCAGTTACAAAATGCTGCTGAAAACTAGTTGAAAAGGGAAAATAATAGGATGCTCAATGTACAAATTTTTATCTACTGTACTGGAAAAGACTAAACATTCTGTCACATATATTGTTTTAAGGAATGATATGTCATTGCTAACATAGAAAAAAGCCCATGTTTTGTGGGGACATATTAGAGATATCGGTAGGACAAAGCAGTCCACAGGAATGGTTAATCCATCAGAGTAGGGATCTGTTAACTAATGGAAATCTAAATGCAGTTCATTTCCTTTCAGCACTTTACACTATTACTTTTAGTATACTGTATGTCACAAAAATGTTAACGGAGTAAAACTGAACTGGGATTCTTTCTAGTTTGCTTTCTTTGCTTGCTTCTTATTAATAATAAATAAAACTTACAAGTGGATAAGATTTTCAAAATAATAATATGAGACTTAGAAACTGCATTTTCTTTAGACATTGTTGCTGCCAGCTATCACTAGAAGACATTGTAATGACTATTGAACCCTGACATTAACATTTTTATATCTTTTGGATCAGGGAAAATTCAGTTTGGAATGCATCTGGGACTTGGTAATGATACACATCGATTCTTTAGAATGCATTTGTGAGCAATGTCAACATGGTATCAATGAAAACTGATATGGACTTGAGGTTTGCAAAGATTCAAAATTATTTTTGGTCATACAGCTGTAAAATGCCTATTTATAATGTTTGTGCAGTTTGCCCTCTAGACTTTAGAACATAAATACCCATGTTGATGTTGCTGGCCAATTATCAATGTGTTCTAGTTTTAAAATGAAATAGTTCTTGTGTCTTAGAGGTGCTTCTTGAACTACAGTATGTGCTGATATTGAAGTATACGCTTCATGATGTCTTTTACACATCTATCACTTAAGTATTACTGTATATAGAAGTTTTCATGAAGTCTCGTGTGGCCTAAAACCTATTTTTGAGGTTATTTTGTGTGATTGTCTGAAGCTATTAGAGAAGTCCGTTGAGTAATTAAAGGTTTAAAGATTTATTTCAATGAATTAGACTCATAATTCCATACTCAGTGTCCTTTCAACATCCCTTCACAGAAATGGCAGAGAGTGGCAGAGGAAAACGAGGAAAAGGTGGCTGGAATGGAGAAGATCCGGGATCAAATGGCTTTGGATCTTGCCCACTTTCAAAAGCTCATGCACCAAATGCAGAGGGAGAGTGACACTCTCTTGGCTGCCTGTGCCCTACTGGCAGGAGCCCTGTACCCACTCTTCTGGCAGCTTTGTGCCCTGTCCAGCCAAAAGAACCTCTTACTGGAGCAGGTTGATGCCAGTGAGGCCTTTAAAAGTGAGATCCAGACCTTGGTGCTGGCTTTAACAGCAGAGAATGAAACCCAGCTACCTACTGAGGGCAAAAGGAAGCAGGCCAAAAGGCTTGTGTGTGTTTTCCGTAAGACTGTTATAGCTGTGATTGCAGCCAACCGCTTCCAGAAATTTGGACAGGACTCAAGGCATCTCTTCACATGGGTCCAGGGTTTCAACAGCTTCCCAGCTTTAGCTGTTTGTGCTGGAGGAGCAAAGTCAGCAGCACGTTCATCTGGTAGGTATATGAATATAAGGGCTCTGGTCTTGGCCCCTTTTGAAGACTTTTTTAATCAAAACTTTTTTTCTGAGCAATAAATCAATTGCTTTTTCAATCTGGTGGTATGACGAAATGACGTTAGAATATCACTGACAGTTTTATAACAGTATCAAACCATTTTATATTAATCCACAGATTTTAAATATCATTGAAGTTAAACTTTTGACTAATCCATTTTCCCTGAGTACTCTGGCTAAATCAAAGGTTTATCTTGATGTGTTTGTTTTAGGGCAGGAGAAAGAAGAGCGCCGTAGAAGCCAAGCCCTGAGGTGGCTCACCAGCAGAGATTTGCTGACCATAGTTCTTAGTTGTGTGGGAGATCTTCAAGATATGGTTTCAAAAACAGGTAGGCTAAATACGTTACATATTTCTGCCTTTGGTTTTTGAACTCTTAAAAGAAACTGCTTAGTATAATTAATTTGTTTGCCAGGACAAGAAATTCTTTAAAGAACAGCAGCATCTTTCTTGTAGTTAATGATTTTCTAACAGCTTCTGACTTGGAGTCACTGTTCTTTTTGATACATTCCGTTTAAATTGCACTGAGAATTATCTACTGATCATCACTGGTACTGTACTACCCTTCTCTACATACCACACCCTCAGGGAATTCCACTGAGTTTTGTACATGGACAGTTGCTATTTCGTATTTATGTGATGCATCTTGATTGAATTATATAACCTCATGGACTGGGCTTTCATCATTATGCTAATGACTCTTAGATTAACTCAGAAACCAAATAAAAAACTACTGTTGCACTTCTGTCTGTCTGACATTAAGATACGGATACATCTGATCTTCCTTAGGCTAAACTGAGTTATCATAAGCAACATTTATGATAACTGTCTTAATATAATAATCTTCTAATGCATTTTATAATCACGTTTTGCAAGGTATTGTTGCTGTTTTTGGTTGGTACTGTATTTTTAACAATCCAGAATAAAAATATAACAAAATTAATCTTCTAATTAATCATTTAATCTTTAAACAAAGATTGAAGCCAGGACTCTTGTATTTCAGTTCTGAGTTCTCTGCTGTAATTAGAATTTGTGAGCTGAAATCTGGACAACAGACAAACATTCTTCATTATCTGCAATAATTCATCTTTTATATAAATGTAGGTTACACGCAGAACGAAAATTAAATAGCAGGGACGATATGTTAATAGAAATAATGAATTGGTAAGACATCTTTTCACATCTTCAATTTGACGGTTAAAAAACATTGAAAATGCAAACATATTACTTCTGTGTAAGCAACAAGCAAGTTATTCAAGATTACACAGTATAATGTAACATGGCGTGTGGTGTCAGTGTAGGTATACAGTAGCAGGTATAGTAGGTATTGTGCATGTGTTAAATCTTTGATTTGTGCATGGTTCTACTGGTGTTGGTGTCTGACTATTTCTGACATGAGCATTGCTGGATGAATAATTTAGTGCTTTTACAGCAATCCTTACACTGTCAGAGTTCAGGTAGTGCACTACTTGTCTTAGCTACCTGCTGTATTGCACTCACACTGTGGGAATATGTCTCAAAGATGTGTTGCTTTGTCTGCTTGGGTGGATTTGTTTTTAATCTGCCCATTGTTGTTCCAACCACCCCCTCCTTTAAAGTGGTCTGGGACCCCAAAAGAACATAATTCTGGTGTGTTTTAGTAATAAAAAGCACAGCACTCTTATTAATAATTAATAGAGATTTAAAGCCAAAGGTTGAATTGTGATGTGTAAAAATCTGTCAGTTTCATCGTGGGTGTCGGGGAAAAAAAACAACTTTGGAATGGATATTATCTGTAGAGAACAAACAAAGAATGAAACAGAATGTCTTGCATCAAAAGAGCCTATCCTGTGAGTTATTTTTAAGTGAATTGTCAAAGAAAAGTTTCCTATTGGAGTTCGTGGAAAATTCTAGATTTAGATGTGCGATTAAAGGAACAGTTACAGAAAATGCTAAGCAGCAGAATGATTTTACAAGACTGGATTAAGGTTCCTGCTAAACAAAATGTCATGCAGTAATCTTAATAGCATTCTGCAAAAGTAAAGTCATATTTATCAGAAAGGTTTTTTTTTTTAAATCAAATACAAGGTTCTAGCATTGCTGAGAAGGAATTACTCCAGGCTTTGGTTTCCATTTCACATCACTAGACTGAGTTCTGGAGATTGAGATGGGCTATAGGGAACATTTATTTTGTGTGCTCTTAATCACTTCTTTATCAATATGAATGTATGTTAGGTCATTATCATGCTGGTTTGATCATTTTAGGCTAGGCTTGAGTTTCGTAGTGTAGAGAATCAGTTGTTTGGCCAAAATATCCTGGCATTGGGGCTCATGATTCCCCCTATTTTAACAGGCACTTCAGGACCTGTAGATCAAAACAACTTCAAAACATAATAGACCCCCATATCATATTTCACAGTGGGCATGACCACCAGTCACCTTTTACATCAAATGTAAAACTGAAGTTTAAAACACTCAGTTTTGACTTCTTCTGATCACAAGGCAGTTTGACATTTTTGAATTAGCTATTTAGGTTCTTCACCTTCAGAAGAGGCAACCCAGCCTTGAATGCTACATACTAATGACGGCTAAACATTTTATATCCTGAAGCTTTGCAGAGTGTATTTGAAATTTCCAACTGTTGGGTTTATAGTTTCCTTCCAAACCACAGCCCATTTTGGCAAGATACACATGTATTCTGTTCCTCACAGGGTCCCTGATATACCAGGACAATCAAATTTCTTTATACTGTACACAATGGTGGTAGATTCAATTTTTCTGATTTCTTTTATTGCTGTCCCCCATCAAGCAGAGGTCAATGGCCATTTGCCTGCAGTACCTCATAGACCTGTTCAAACCTAAGCATGATGATTCCTGCTGCTACTAAATGTCTTCTTTATATTACCTCCTTTTATAGTGCAAGGAAAAATGAAACTTTCTCAGCTCTCTGTAGACTACTAGACGCTTCCATTATAGTTCTGAAATGCAAATTGTTAATGTTTTTGTTTAATTTAATTTAACAATACTTAGAGGTGTGAACAAATGTGATCCTTGTATGTTCTGGAATTTATTTATTTATTTCTGACTTTGTCTTGCTCTATGCATTTCTACAATGAAGACAGTACAATATTTTTAGATTTGTTGTAAGCAGGGCACATCCAATCTATAACTCATTGTGTTATATTTTATCAGGATTTATGAATAAATCTGCTGGGCAGTGTAAATTATACAGGCTAGACATTTTGGACACTCATGTGAATACAGACTAAAGCTGAAGAAAAAGCTTACTAATTAATCATTATGGTTATTAATGTGTTTCTGAGAAAAAAATGTGCAGGTACAGCAAAGTAAGAATTAACTAGATTGACAGTACTTTTAATTCCAGTGCAGTTATCAACTTCACTGGCCCTAACAGGAGATAAACAATTCAGGTTGCCAGGAACCTGATATATTTGAAACTCAATCATAATTCTGTAACTGGGGAATATGAATGAAACAGTCAAAGAAAATGAAAACTCCTGTGCCCCTGGAGCAGTTCCTGTTATCCCTTTGGCCACGGAGGTCAACATCCTGTGACTTTGGCTATTTGATTTTTCCTTAAATATTCATCTTAACCAGATTTTTTTTCAATGCTTAGATTAAAATGGGGGCTAACTAAATACAGATCTTATTTTGGAGAAATGCACAAGAAAAAAGCAGCTGATTGCTTGTTGTTATATTTCATTTTAATGTGAAGAGATATTGAAATCTTAGAACAGAAAATGTATTTTTCAGATAAGCACTCTCTATTTTTCCTCTAGCTGGAATTTTATAGCACTCAGTCAAACTGGAGCATTAAATGAAGAGAAGTGCAATGTGAGGAAAGTCGCTCAGTTTTACTCATAATTGGCAGTTCCTCTGAGAGATATGGCATAAGCAAAGGCATTTTTGTGCCCTCTGTAGGTATGAAGTAAAGATCTTAAAGATCTTCTTGTAATAGCAGGTTCTTTTGGCACCAAAGTTTAAGATGTATGACTGACCTAAAAAAGCAGTTCTGCTTTAGCCAGTGGCACTTGCACAAAAATGTGAAATGCTGAGTTCTGAATGCTAGCAAAAGCTGCTGTTAATTAACTGTAAGAGCCAACAGTGCTAATTGCAGATAGCAGTAATGGTAGTATATAATAAAATGTATACTTAATATTTGCAGAAATTTAAAAAACGTTTAAATTTTTTAAACTTTAAAGAACAAGGAGAAACACTAAAATTGTTTGTGTTATGTAACCGTCTTGTAAGGGAATTAAAAATAATTTATATCAATCAATTCAACTTTATTGTCATTAAACTTACACAGGTGCATAGTATAATGAAAAGTGTTTCTCATTAGTCACTCAGGTGCAGTATATAAATAGGACAGAAGATAAGACAGTAGACAGTTACACAATAGCAATAACAGTAACATGTAATAACATAACATAAACAACATGTAATCAAGTAATCAAAACTGTGCAAAATTCCACAAACCCGCTGTAGTGCCTTACGGTCGGATGCGGTGCAGTTGCCGTACCAGACTGTGATGCAGCTGGTCAGTATGCTCTCCACCGTACATCTGTAGAAGTTGGTGAGGATCTGTGGATGTAGGTGTATTTTCTTCAGCCTTCTCAGGAAGTACAGCCGCTGTACTTCCTGAGAAGTATATTCATGTTTATTATATTCATGTTTATTAAGGTAGTAAGTTCTTTTTAATTTTTTGTTAGACAGAGTTTTGGGTCTGTATATTTTACTGTCATTTAACAGTATATTTGCATTTGAATGTTATGATGTTTTTTTATTTCTTTTGAATGGAATGCATGATATTTTTTGTTCAGAATAAAATTTCTATTTATAAGCGTAGAATATCCAAAATAGTTCAGTACTATTAATTCATAAATCCCTTTTTAATATCAGTTTTGCTTTGTCATCGGAACAGGTTTTCATTGCTTTTCAAAACATCTGTGTAAATTGTGATGTAATTAGGCATTGCACAGTGGCATGAGTTTTATTTTATTTATGTGTTTTGTAAGCAATTTTGAATTTCAAGTTTAACGAATGGTCTTTAATGCTTGATGGAGTTTGCTACTTGCATATTGAAATTTCAAGTAAGATGCTACAGTATATAAATGCTCTTATGTTCCTGTAATTTCCTCTTCCTCCATGGTATGAATTCTCCCGAGAATGTAATTCTCAGTGCTGATTGCTGAACAAATAATGAATGAATCCATCAATAATCACTTCAGAAGGAAACTGTATGATTATTGATTTAATATGGAGTAGAGTAGGGAGCTGTGTCAGTATGTGAGCTGCAAAAGGGAAAATATAAGATAATTCCTCTTTGAA